TGTATGAAGAAACACGCAGGTATATTGATATCTGCGAGGGCAGATGAGCGTTGGAACCAACAATTAGCAGGAACCAACAACAAGTATGACCCACGTACGGAATGAGGCAAGTGATTTGCTACAGAGGTTAATAGTTTTTGAGGGATTGGATCTGGAACTGAACACAATTGGAGACACTGAACAACATTATCATGAATCGGACGATGACTTTGACCCTGATAAAAACTTTTTTAAGAACTCTGAAAATAACTGCAAGTATTACACGGATGAGCAGTTTAACAGCAATGTCAAGACTGAAAACAAATTATCACTAATTCACTTTAATAGCAGAAGTCTATACGCAAACTTTCAGAGTATAAAACATTATCTTAGTAGTCTTAAACATTCTTTTAATATAATTGCTATTTCTGAAACTTGGATTAATAATGTAAGGGGAATGGATTTTGACCTGACTTGGTATGTACAAACAGAGAGAATAAGATGGGAGGTTGTGTGGCCTTGTACATAGATAAAAACTTTTGTTATAAGAAAGTGGAGAAAATGTCAAAGGTGGTGGATAATTTGCTGGAGTGTGTGACTGTAGAAATACTCGTGGAAAAAAAGAAAAATGTTGATTTGTAGAAAATGAATGAACCACCTGGAGCCAGCATAGAAAAATTTAATAACTGGATGGAAGAAAATTACTTGACAATAAGTCATAAATTAATGTTCATATGTGGTGACTTCAATATAGATTTGTTAAATCCTAACAAGCACACAGGAACTGAGGAGTTTATTAACACAATATATAGATGCAGTTTATACCCAAAAATTACAAAACCAAGTAGAGTAACAACCCAGCATGCAACACTAATAGATAATATACTTACCAATGTTATTGACAGCAAAATGACAAGTGGATTACTTATAAATGATATTAGTGATCATCTACCAGTATTTGTGGTTTATGAGGGCCAGTATAGAAAAGAGAGGCCAAAAACAAATCTTTTCTATAGGAGGGTGACGAATGAACATGCTGTAAGGAGGCTAAAAGAGGACTTTATGGGGCAAGACTGGGA